GATTCTTTTCTTTCGGAGAACGTAAAGCAATATTCAAATATCGCAGACCCGCAGATAAGCCACGATGTGACAGGCGAGGCAAAACAATCTTTGTGCCTAAGAAAATATAAACTATAACCCACTGTTCTCTTTCAACGCCCACTCGAGACTAATAAAATTTTCAAAGAGTAACTCTAAACAATCCTCGCCCGACAGATCACGATATCTGTTTAAGTCACAAGCTATAAACATATCAACCTTCCTTGATAAGAACAAATTCTCTATGGTCGAAACCTAAGGCTCTAAATAAAAGCCTTAACCAAAGCCAATTGTATTAATTTTCAAAGTCAAAGAGACGCCTCCGGACCTAAAGGGCGTCATTGAAAATCCTCCTATTTGTTGGGAAATATTAACAAACCAATGGAGAAGGAGGAGTTTAACATCGCTCTCAATAAATAGTAAGTCCCTTCAATAATTACTCGTTACTTCCCAAATAATCTTAGACCTCAAATTGAGATACTTATAAATGTGTTTCCTTTTCTTTTCTGATTTTAATAAGTCAGCATCTCCCTTTATCTCTTTTACTTCCTTCAAATCATAGTGGATTTCTGCACTAGCAGAGAGATCCGTGGTTTTTCTTCTCTCCCTCGAAAACCACAGTGGATTTCCTAAATTACTGAAGAGATCCGTGGTTTTCTCACCTCCTTCTAGAATCATAGTGGATTTCCACACTAGCGGAGAGATCCATGGTTTCTTTCCTCTCTCAACCTTCCTTTTCCCTTTTTTATTTTATTATTTTATTTTATTTTCCCTTTCTCATGGCACCCTCATTCCTTTGTTTATCCCGAATTGCCAGCTCCTCGGGGATGTCCTGTAGAATTTTTTAAACGTTTCCTCCCTCTTCTCTCTTCCAAAACTTGCGATTCCCATGACCTCTCTCACACACCTATTTACACGTATAGTATTATTATTATTATTATTATTATTTTTATTATTAAGCTCTTATTGTAAGATCCAATCGGAATATTAACACTTTTTTCTCATGTATCACCCGCGAATCATACACACACACACACACACACACACACACACACACTCACACGCACACGCACTTTTATGTACGATTTGCGTAGAGTTAAGATCTGTAAATTTAATATTTCTTATGTATAAAATTTTTTCTTCTTGGTATGATAAAAATAAATCTAATCTTTAATTATGAATTTAGCTCTATATAATTAACTAAATAAAAAAATTCTCATTTTTATTTCCTTCCCAAACCAGAAGTCGCACAAGATCCCATCCCGAGCAAAAGAGATTAAATTCTCTTGCCAAAAAGGGACCTCCGACGAACAGCCTTTTAAAATAGAGTAATAACGACTGCTCGGTCGTTGACCTATTTGGACCTTCGCACGTTCGTTCGGGTCGAACAGACGCACCGTTCGAGGTCGTTCGATAATAACAGTAGTTACGTCCTTCCTCTGATTCTTCCTTTCTTGAGTCTGGACGTAACAATAGAGTCGTATAATGAACTAGTAAATTAATATAAAATATAAAAATAAACAAGAATAACGTGATATGATCGCCAGTTAAATTTTTAAAAAACCAAATTAGGCAGGAATTTATTGACCAACACCGGCTAATTTTAAATTTCTTTTATTAGAAAAGAAACGACGTTTCGACCATCAATTAGGTCCTCTTCAGGCTATAAAATTACATAATACATTTCGGTAATACAATAAATAAAAATAAAATAAAAACAATAAAAATATCAGTAAATAATCGATGTATAAGAGAATTCAAAATTATAATAAAATATACATAAATACCTATTAAATTAAATACATATTCCAATCAACGAATGATCAGGTAACTGTCAGTTGTAACACAGCAGAATGACAATCTTAAAAGTGAAAAAGAGAGAACCGATAGTTCGCACTGACATGTAAATTGACACTGTAACAACATCGACAGTATTTCGCAAATAAGTCCGATTATAAAATATAGAAATTGAAAGTCGTCTCATAAGTTTTAATACAAAAACAATATATAAACATGAAAGCAATATAAACATTTTTATGGAAGGTTAAAAACAATAAATACAATAAATTTTATAAAGTATAAATAAAATAAATAAAAATCATAATAAATAAAAATAAATATAAAGCGACAAGGATCCAAATTAATAATTTAATTAAACAATTTAACAATTTAACAATAACAATTTAATAAAATATATTTATTTAAAGTAAATCAAGAATATCGTTGTACATGTCATTTAGGTTATCAGTGTCCTTTTGCAAATTAATAGAGTTTATCTGTTTTTTAATAAAAATCATCTCACTTATCTCTCTCTTTTTTACCTATATGTGCCTCGTTGTGTAAGATGGACACATTTGACCAGTCAAATTCATGTTTAAAAAAGGTTCTATGTTTACTGATAACCGAATGGCATGTTTCATGTTTTTTAATATCGAAGTTATGCTCTCTGATTCGAGTTTCTAAATGACGTTTGGTTTGCCCAATGTAACAAGAATCACAATCAATACAGGAGATCTTATATACAACATTAGTTCTTTTGCAAATTGGAAGTCTATTCTTTCCTTTTATAATCAATTTGTCTAATTTATTATTAACCTTGAACAAAACTTTTAACCCTCCTCTTTTTAAAATTCTTTGCACATCCTCACTCAAGCCTTTGACATAAGGAAAACAGACAATATTAGAAGTGACATATGCATTCCTACCTCCTTGTGGGTGACCATCAAATGATTTTAAATGTAATTGATGTAATCTTTTGCTAATAATTGAGTTAATTAAACCCAATGGATAACAATTATTCACGAGAATCTGTTTTACTTTTATAATCGGACTTATTTGCGAAATACTGTCGATGTTGTTACAGTGTCAATTTACATGTCAGTGCGAACTATCGGTTCTCTCTTTTTCACTTTTAAGAATGTCATTCTGCTGTGTTACAACTGACAGTTACCTGATCATTCGTTGATTGGAATATGTATTTTAATTCAATAGGTATTTATGTATATTTTATTATAATTTTGAGTTCTCTTATACATCGATTATTCACTGATTTTTTTATTGTTTTTATTTTATTTATTGTATTACCGAAATGTATTATGTAATTTTATAGCCTGAAGAGGACCTAATTGATGGTCGAAACGTCGTTTCTTTCTAATAAAGAAATTTAAAATTAGCCGGTGTTGATCAATAAATTCCTGCCTAATTTGGTTTTAAAAAAATAAAATTTTAGTTAAAAAAACTTGGTGCGCTGCTAAATGATATCCTAATGATATTGAAACTAAATTATTTGTTACTTTAAAACGTATTGCAGTTAAGATATATTTTGTAGTTAAATTAATTTATGTAACTTTAAGGTGCATTGTAATTTTGAAACTTAGCAACGCGCCCAGTTTTTTTAACTAAAATTTTATTTTTTTTTAATTTTATATTAGTTTACTATTCATCTATGGTCAGTTTGGTCAATTACTTAACAACCTTGTTTTAATTGAGACTGACAATATACAATTTATCTTGTTTTTTATCAAACTAACATCAGAAGTTTCAGAGTACGATATTTCTTTTCCTGTACAATTAAGAGTTATAGGTGTATAATTTTATAATAGTAGATAACATTGTGTGTGTGTGTTTCCTCGCAAAGTTATCCACTCGTCATTCTTGGTAGTTTCATTTCCGCTCTCGTACAAACACGTATTAACTTATACAATATACTCTTCTTTCAAGAAAGTAACGTCAAAGCCGAATATAGTGATACATTATATATATTGTACTAAATCTAGTGTAATAATTAAAAATTAACCGCGTAATCTTCTACATTAACATTTTTAGAATAAAATCAGATCAATATTTCTACATTTTGTAGAGAAAGATAAAAAAGATTATTTAATTTCATTATATGTGTATATTACGCATTTGATACATATTTTTCATTTGATTGGTACAAAAGCTAAAGTAGACACAAAATAAATATGGATGTTTTTAATTATTAAAATTACACTTTATATGAAAAATAATGTACTAACAGGAGTTTGATTGATTTCACTATACAATTCTTCCAGTGTATCCTTTTGTGAAGTAATGTTTGTAAAAAATTTCGCGTTTCTGTGTTGCGGGTTTTTACTCCTCATCATTTCGTTATCGAAACTTCAGCAAAATTTCACCAACAACAAAGACGAAGATTCTAATTTGACAGTACAAGACGAGATATATGTGGATTCTACAATAATTTATAACAACGAGATAAAATCCCAGCGATATGATTGTATGAAAGGTTTACCGACAACACGCAATATAACGAAATGGAATATGAATTTAGCGCTATTTCCACGAATATCGATCGAGAGGATGTTGATTTGATATTACATAATCTAAAAAGGCGTTCTGCTCAAAATCATGAGGATGATGACAAAATACTGACATCCTCTCACATCAATTCGACAAATGTCAATCATAAAAAAAACTCTACATCACAGAAGGTTTATGAAAACTTGCTTGAAAAGAATTACTCCATGTCGAATAAAGTCTTTGAAAATTCCACTAAGCATGGTAATAAAAGTAACATTGTCCCATACGAAACTTGCTATAATTACTTGCATTCTGTTCTGCTGTCCCTTTGGCTATAGGATGAGGGTGAATGACAGCCAGTGCATTCCAGAGAAAATGAAATATGTTTTTCCGAATGTGTACGAATACACGAACGATTTAATGCAGAACGAAAGTAAGCGAGTGGACGAATTCTTTCAGTTAGCCGTCTACAATCCGTGCTTGAAAGCGCAACGTTTCACGGTAGGCGACGGTTATCAGTACGAATATAAAATTTTTGCCAATGGTTCTATTATTTGCCTCATTATAAAACATTATTTAAATCGACATATTCGACACATATTGCCTCGCCGTCTTCGTGGAAAGAGGGAGTAGGTTTGAAGTGACTTACTGTTTAGAAATAAATGATGAAGTCTACAGGAACTCATGAAACACAAATTATCTGAGTTCAGTTGGATAACTCATATAATATATATATATTCCAGCTTGATATTAGCGTCTATATTCTTTTTGGTGGCAGTATTTTTTGTGTATTCCATATTGCCAGAACTCCGAAATGAACACGGCTTCATGTTGCGCAATTACACTGCAATTGCAGCCATCGGATTCATGATTGATATTGTGAGACTTTTACATGTCAACGAGCATGTGTTATATCCCGTCTGTATTACAATTGGTACAGTATATCTAACAATAAATTACATAAATATATAAAATCAATGCAGAACATATTTGTCAAGCATAACGTATATCCGCATATTAGTATATCTTCTTCATTATTTGAGTATATATAATACTTGTTAAATGCAACTGTCAATAATGAATTAAACTAAAATTTAATGTATTTTAATTATTAATTTCTGAGTTTGTTCAAAAAAAAAATATATATATATAATTTTGCGTTTTAAATGTTGCAGTGTTATATCTTGAAATAGTATTTAATTTAATATTGGTAGTATCAATATTCATAATAATGAATAAATATTGTTATAAACTTTTGGTGTAAAATGTACAAAATCCGTTTTAGTGTGAACAATCAAAAACGTGAAACTTTCGATTTTTTTCCATTTAACGCACACGCTTAGTGATGAAAATAATATTTATCATCATAGCCTTTATTTATCTTCATTTTTCAGCCTTTTTTGGATATTTTTGTTTTATGTCGGGTTACTCTGGCTCAGTACCATGAGCTTTAATATGTGGCGGACGTTCAGGTAAATAGCCAAGTATTTTATTTGTACTTTAGTTCTTGACTTCTCATTTTAATTTGTCTTTACATAATTGCTTTATAGTATTAAATAAACAAATACTTTTGTCAAGATAACGTAATTTTTTTTGAAATTAGAAAAATGGCATATATTAGATAATAAACATTATATACTTAATTTATAAAATATTTATAAAATATTACAAACGTATTTAATTCGCATTAATGGAACTATTCTATTCTGGAATGTTTTTTTTTTTTTCAATTTACAAGTTTGATATTTATATCGCGTTGATCTTTTTTATGTATAAAATAAAGTAGTACACAATCATTTTTTAACACAAATATATTTTTGGTTCTAAAAACTAAATCAAAATATAAGTTATCTTTGTCTCTAGAATATCTATGTAAATATATAATGTTTCTAAATGTTATACAACGTTATATTTTTTATCGTAACTGATTGTGAGTGCGACGTGTCGTATTATATAATATACTTTTATTTTCTACACTTATATAATTAAATATAATATATACATAAATTGCAGAGATTTCTCTTCGTTACAAAGAAACGTCAGACAATCAGGAAAAAAAAAGTTGGTGCATTATGCTATTTTTCGTACGGATGTCCATTTGTACTTGCTATTGTTTGTGTTATCGTAGTGGATTTTGTTTCCGATTTAATGCCAAAAATTTTGAGACCAGAATTCGAAATGGGATTTTGTTGGTACTTTACGAAACGTACGTCTCGAATAACTTTATTAAATGCTACGCATTTTAAAAGTATGTAACAGCATATGAGATATCATATTTGCAGATTTGGAAGCGTTTATATTGTATTTTCATTGGATCACAACTGTCTGTATTATTAGTAGCATTTGCTTATCTATTTCTGCGGCAAGGAACATCAAACGTTACGAAAGGATGCAAACTTCAGGCTACTAGATTCGGAAAGTAAGCAGTATAATGACAATAAGAAATGGTATGTAACTCACATTTTTGCATCAGTCTATGATAATATTGTGTTAATGAGATTTATGCAGATATATTTTGCCAATACTTCTGCCGACAACATCACACACTTGCTTAATTCGCATTTCTGGTAAAAGATAATTAATTGTAAAGAGATAATTAATTGTAAAAGATACACATATATTTACTATGCTCATTTTTTTCCTTCTATTGTGTAATAACATAATCTATAAAAGAAGAAAAACATTTATTTCTGTAACTTGCATCGGGTCTTTCGAAAAAGTCTGTAATTCTCGAAATGTCATAAAGAGTGACTATAAAAACGAATATATATTTATTACATAAAAATTACAGTTTTGAAGCATTTCTTTAAATAACTTTTTCTCATTTCCCTTTTTTAAGAATTGTAATTTGTTCCATCATTTTTTAATTTAATAATTTGATATAGATGAATTTGTTTTTTTTATTGAAAGATGACTAAATATTAATATATATTTGTTTGCAGGTTGAATCTATATATAAAGTTATTTAATCTGATCTTTATCATTATGGGTATAAATTGGTTTCTGCATTCAATTTTCTGGATCTATACAATAGAATTACATGATTATAGTTATTACATTAATTGTGTTTATTGTTTGTTAAATGTAGTGCAGAATTTCTTCATTTTTATCATATTTGTATGGAAAAAAAAGTTAAGTTGATGTTACGGAAACGATTCGGATCCGAAACGAATACATCGACTTGAATACCACATTTAAGAAATCTATGAAGGAAAAGTCGAACTCTTGCGGAGAAGAAAACTGTGTAATGATTTAAATTTTGTAAACATTTATTTTCAAGAAATATTATTTTATTATAGCTATACATATATTGATTCTATATTATTATAAAAAAGGTACTAATTCCAATAAAAATATTATATATTTATAAATGTATGTATGTATATAAAGGGAAAATTAAATTTGTTTCAACTAATGACATGGTCCATACAAATAAATTACGACTATTTTTAAACCCGACTGTGTTAAACTTATTTATTATTTAAAAATAGTATTTTTTAATAGGGGTTCAGTGTAAATAAACTACTAAATGATATTATACATATGTACACACACATTGAGAATGCTAAAATTATTTTATTCTAATATTATGCACATGAGAGTAAATTCTCGAATTCGTATATAAATAATATTTCTGCATTATAAAAAGCAGAATATCTGAAATAGTGATTATATATAAAAGATATTTAAAGAACAATTATAAATTTATGTCATAAGTTCAAAAGATGTAATATGACTTGCACATAAACTAATAAGTTACGGAGAAAAGTGTTGTTTTACATTTTTACAATAATTTAAATTTACATGTACGATTATTATTGCCCATTACATGCAGCGAAGACTACAAAACATTTTTAATTTTCGACAAATTTAAAACTTCAAGAAAATATAAATATGTTGGCTGAAATAGCGATGGCGTTGCAATCGATTATTGCAAAACTTAATTATTTTGCTATACAATTGAATAATTGTGCGCGAGACACAAATTTGCCTTGGTACA